CACTCCTAACTCCATTTATCTTTGACTCTTACTAATCCAAAAAATAGTGCTGGAGAAAGCAGGACTTTCTTGTCTTAAGATTTAGCCCCACTTTAAAAAAAAAAAAAAGATTTAGCCCCACTTTCCTCTAAGAATAGAGAGTACCACACAGAAAGGATGTGAAGGAGCCACTAAATAATGTACATAAACACAGGCAAAAATTTAATTTTTTTTGGTCTTCCCAGTAAATTTAGGGCCATAGAAATAAAACAAGCCTGATACACAAACTGATAATACCAAAGATGAGTTATGTCAAAAAATACCAACAAAATTAATTAAAAACTACATCCTTCTTTCTAGCAAGCACATTTTTGTGATTCTGGAAATTGAATCCAAAGCCTCACATCATGTGTTCCACGCCTGAGCTCCTCCCTCAGGGGCCTCGTGGGCGTATTTTTAAAGGGAGTTCTGGATTTTGTGGAAGGGATCGGGAAGGTAACAGAGTTATGTGGTTAGATTCAGGAAGTGTACAGGAGGAGAAAGAATCCTGTTTCCTCCAGCATATTTACTTTGACTCCCTTCTGTTTTGTTCATTATATTGCCACATTTTTTATGATTTAGTCAATGTCTCTCTAATCATAAGTTCTCATAGATCCAGTAGTTCAGTTGTTTCGAGGGGGAAAAAAAAAGTAAAATAGAAGTTATTTGTAATTTCTCTAGGGAAGAAGATATTGGCACCTAATTCAACTGGTTTGTGATTTCTCCAGAAAAACAACACTTTTATTTAAACAAGTATTCCAAGTGAAGGCACTGGGGCCAGGTTAATCTGGATCTAGGGGTTGAAGATGTTTGCCTGCCTTGGTTGGCCCTTCCACCCCGAAGAATGAGAGGAATATATTACCTGCAGATGTGCTGGCCTCTAGCCAGACATTCCTAGGCGCCAGGCTGATGTGGCCCGTGAGGCTGAAGGTAGGAAGACAAACAAGTGTGCTAGCAAAGCTGGCAATGTGGTTCAAGACCTGAAGAAAGTTTATCAGTACCAAAGACACCCAGCCCTTCCTCCCCCCTCATTCCCCCTCCCTCCCTTTCTTTCTCACACATGCACTCCTCACCCTGCCCACTCCACATATAAATACTCCCCGTAGATTAGCTTGCTTTCCACTGATTAATGTTTGTGCCCCAAATGCTATGCAATGGAAATAGTCCAAAAGTTGAATTTAGTAAGCTGGTAAAGGGCTGAGGTTACACCTTAAGAAAAAGTGAAGAAAAAACTTAACACATTAGTTTCCAGCCAGGTGTGAGGTGCACGCCTGAAATCCCAACACTCTGGGAGCCTGAGGCAGGAGGACTGGAAATTCAAGCCAATTTAGCAATTTAGTGAGATAGTCTCAAAATATAAAAAAGAGCTAGGATGTCGCCCAGTGCAAAGGCCCTGGGTTTAATTCCTACTGCCAAAACAAAAACAAACAGTATATTAGCTTCCTTAGGCAGGAAGCTTAACGAGCTATATAAAAAAACAAAGTCAAAAAAAAGTGATGCTTAGTCCTAACCCTTTCTGATATAGGACAGAAAGACAAAATTGAGCACTGAGTATAGTGTGCGTGTCTGTGATCTCAGCACTCAGGAGGCTGAAGCAAGAGGATCACTATGAGTTCAAGGACAGCCTGGGCTACATCCATAGACTCTGTCAAAATCAGTCTAAAACTAGGAATTGGGAAAGTCTGGCATCTCAACAACTTCCTCAATTAACTGGAACATAGGGAAAAAACAGACAGACTGCAGTGATATTTATCACTACAGACAGCAAATTGTCTATTCTGATAGCAACAGATGTTCCTGGCCAAAAAATTATTACAGAGAAAAATCTTGCCTTTAACAGACTTTTCCTTTGCCATACCATGGAGGAGTAAATTCAGGAACCAAATTATCTAAAACCACTGAGCCAGAAAAATCAGCAAAACACAGGGTTCAAAAAAGACTAGACTTTTAAACAAGTATTCCAAGTGAAGGAACTGAGGCCAGATCACTAGGCAGCATCTAACATATTGCAAAACAGGGGAGGCTACAGGGATAATAATGCGCCAAAATACTGATTATTCAGCTAGCTCCTCCCCTCACCCCATGAAGAGCCAGGGAGAGAAGCCAGGGCCTTCTGCACATTAGGTAAGTGCTCTGCTACTGAGCTATATACCTCTAATCTCTTGTTGCTGGGGGTTTTTTGTTTTGTTTTGTTTTACTTAAAAAAGACTAGTTCTAGAGGGGTAAATTTATTTGCACGAAGTCACAAGGGAGGAGTCATAACTGATGCAAGAATCTAGATTTTTTTTGAGACATGGTATTACTCTAGCTCAAGCTGTCTTGGAACTCACTATGTAACCCAGGGTGACCTTGACCTCATGTAGATCCTCCTACTCACCCTACTGAGTGCTGGGATTCACAGGAGTTTGCCAACACACCTGGCCTAGATTTTCCTGACTTTCAATTTACTCTTTCATTCTGCTTGTAAAATTAAGAATTTTCCTTGACCCAGCACACAGGAGGCTGAGGCAAGAGGATCACTGTGAGTTCAAAATCACCTTGGGCTACAAAGTAAGCTTAAGGCCTGTCTGAACTGCATAGGGAGATCTTGTCTCAAAAAACAGGTGGTAGGGGCTGAGGATTTAGCTCAGTGGCATAAGTACCTTCCTGGCAAGCAGGCAGTTGTGAGTTCGATCCCTGGTACCGATAAAAAAAAAAAAAAAAAAAAAAAAAAAAACAGGTGGTGGTGCATGCCTGTAATCCCAGCATTCAGGAGGCTAAGACAGGAGAGTCCAAATTTGAGACTAGTTTGGGTTCCACAGCCAGTTTAAAGCCAGCATGATCTATGTGGAAAAGACCTTGCCTTGGGTTGGAGATTTAGCCCAGCGGCATAAGTGCCTACTTTACAAGTGCGTGGTCGTGAGTTCAATCCCTGGTACCAATAATTTAAAAAAAAAAAAAAAGACCTTGCCTCAAAAAAAAAAAAAAAAAAAAAAGTGTCAGGGAGGAGCACAGGTTGAAGGCAGCAGCTGCCAGAAAGGCCTGCTGACCAGATGTACAATATTTTACCTGAAGCCATGTGTGGTGACACATACCTGTAAACCCAGCTACATGGGAGGCTGAGGCAGAAGGCTAAATTACAGAACCAACTGGGCAATTTAGGGAGACACTATCTCAAAAATTTAAAAAGGAGAGCCAGGCATGGTGGCTTATGCCTGTAATCCCAGCACTCCGGTGGCTGAGGCAGGAGGATCATTGTGAGTTTGAGACCAGCCTGGGCTACAAAGTGAGCTCAAGGCCAGTCTGAACTGCATAGTGAGACCCCGTCTCAAAAAGACCAAAAATTGGGCTGGGGATTTAGCTCAGCGGCATAAGCGCCTGCCTTGCAAGCAGGCAATCGTGAGTTCGATCCCCAGTACCAATAAAAAGGAAAAAGACAAAAAAAAAAAAAAAAAGACCAAAAATAAATAAATAAATAAATAAATAAATAAAAAGGGCTGGGAATGTAGTTCAGGGACAGAGTGCCCCTGGATTTAATCCTTAGTATATATATATATATATATATATATAAAACTTATATATATATATAAAATTCTACCTGAGTTTTGACTCACTATACATTTTGAAAGTAATTGGCTTGAATTCTGTTTTCCTTCTGGGGATAATTGGTACCATATCCTGAAATGCTTACATGAAACAAGATTTGAGTGTAAAAAAATCATTTCTAAAATACCAACATACATAATTTATAAGGCCAGTAGTCAAAAGTGCATGCATCCTCAGAGGCATAAGCTTGATGGAGATAGGGACTGTGATTATCTTGTACACTGTTCTATCCTTCTCATTCAGCAATAGCTGGCTAATTTCTGTGGGGGGGGGATTTTTTGGACGGGGTCACCTGGCTAATTTCGAATTCTCAACTATTTATATTATCAGGTGTGGTTGTGTATGGTTATAATCCCAGTGCTCAGGAGGCTGAGGTAGGTGGATTACCATGAATATGAGGCCAGCCTGAACCACATAATGAGACCCATGTGCACATACTGGGAGCATTCAGGAGGCTGAGGCAGAGGGATCCCTTGAGTCCTGGAGTCCTGGAGTCTAAAACATGGGCAATATATAGAAAGCTCATCTCTCAAAAATGCAACAACAAAAATAAAAGATTTTTATTGAATGAATGGACTATCTCAGAATACTCAATTGACACCTAAAATATTAGTCATTTAAAAAGCTGAATGTACCCTGGCATGGTGGCATATGCCTGTAATCCCTGCACAAGGGAGGCTGATGCAGGAGGATCTCTGTGGGTTCAAGACCTGTGTGGGCTACAAAGTGAGTTCAAGGCTGTATAAGGAGAACTTATCCCAAAAAGCGAAATAAATAAATTAAATTAGATCAATAAAATAAATAGCTGAATGTAGGACTGAGGGTGTAGCTCAGCGGTGGTGAGGCCCCAGGTTCAGTACTGAGCACCAAAAACAAAGCACAGGGAAATGAAAGCAGTGTTGAGAGTGAGGGAATGGCACATTAGGACAGTGAGGCACTTTTTCCTGTAAATTTAAATTATTTTATTTTTATTATTTTTGTGTCATAAAGAAGTTTTAAGAGCTAGAATTTACTGTGCCTCCTAACAACACAGTAAGTACATTCTCATCATTGTGCTAGATAAAGTAATACTCTTCATGATCACATTAAAGACAGCCTCATGGAGGCTCTGGTTTTCATCCCCAGCACAAACACAAAAGCTACCACTTCAAGAGGTCCATTATAAATTGTATTCCTATAACATTTTGTTTGAAATTGTTGTAGTTTTGTGTGTTTGTGTTTTTGAGAGAGTCAGGTTACCTGGTTCAGACTGGCCTTGAACTCACAGCAATCCTCCTGCCAAGTGTTAGAATTACAGGTGTGTACCACCATATCAGCTCAGGCTTATAACTGTAGTAATTTCACCTGCACTCCTTTATTTACTTATTAATTAATTAATTAATTTATTTATTTTACAGACCTGAAGATGAAACTGAGGGCCTCTTGCATGCTAGTCAAGCACTGTACCACTGAGCTGCATCCAGCTCCTCACCTCCACTCTTGCTTCCATAATGTGAATGCTAGTAGGCATCAATTCTATTAATGTAGTCTAGTATCTAAACATAACATGCTCAAAAAGAAAATAACATGCTCAAGAAAGAATATAATTTTTACCTCTTTGCAAGTATTTTAGTCATGGGAAGTAAATTTTGAATGAGTACTTAAAGAAATACTGCCACCCTCTGGGTAGAAAAGGTCATGTTTCTTTTAGGAAGTACCAGAAGCAAATACCAGACAGCATTCATAGGTGACAGATAAGTTTGTAGTTTAGTTGCTGAGTGTGATGGCACGACTGTAGTTCCAGCACTGAGGAGGCTGAAGCAGGAGGATCACCACAAGTTTAATGATAGCATAGGCCACATGGTGAGTTCAAGCCCAGCCTGAGCTACCTACCAAGACCCATCCCCTCTGCTAAAAAAACCAATTTTGGCTTCAAACCCAGATCTATCGCTTGCTGCATTAAACTAAAAAACTCAACCTTCAGAAGCATCAGGTTTTTTTAAAAATGCTGTGGCTGCTTATTTCTCAGGAATTGTAAGAACAATCAAATCACTATAAAGTTAGTTTGTTGTTTATGGATTTTTTTTTTTTTTTTGTCTTTTTTGGTACCAGGGATCAAACTCACAACTGCCTGCTTGCAAGGCAGGCGTTTATGCCGCTGAGCCAAATCCCCAGCCCCTGTGGAATATTTTTACAAGTATGGTTTATATTTTTTCCAAAATATAGTATGTTGGAGTAAAAAAATTAATTTCAGCTGGGTGCAGTAGCATATGCCTGTAACCCCAGCATTTGGGAGGCTAATGTAGAACGATCTCCACGGGTGTTTAAGGCCAGCCTGAACTACATACTGAGATCCTGTCTCTAAAAAACATTTTTTTTTCTGGTGTCAGGGATCAAACTCACCACCATGTGCTTCCAAGGCAGGTGCTTATGCCGCTGAGCTAAATTCCCAGCCCCAAAACTTGTTTTTAAATACTTAAACTGTTGTGTGTGTCTGTTGGGAGCACTCAGGAGACTGAGGCAGAGGGGTTCCTTGAGGCATGGAGTCTTGGAGTCTAAAGAAAGGGCAGTATATAGAGAGCCTGTCTCTCAATAAAAGGAAGAAAAGAAGGAAGAAATTTAAGTGGATAGTAACAATGGGAAGGAAATGAATTCTAGACCTATGTTAAAGATAAGGAAGCAGGAGAAATACAAGATTACATGTGAGCTTCTGGCTGAACAGATTTTGATGTCATTCATTGAAATAGGAAGTACAAATTAAGAAATGTGTCCAGAGAGCCGGGGGTTTAGCTCAGCAGCATAAGCGCCTGCCTTGCAAGCACATGGACTGGAAGCTCTGAAAGTATGAGCCCAAATAAACCTTGCTAATTGATACAAACTTTATAAATACAATTTTAAAAATGAAATAACACTAAATGCCATGTTGCCTGTTAAAATGGCAAACATTTAAAAAACGTGATAACTAGTTGAGGTGAAGGAGAAAAAAACAGGTACATTATTGGTGATACTGTTAAGGCAGAGTGACTATTATGGGAGACAAAGGCAATTGGCAAGACATCAAATTACAAATGTATATACTCTGACCCATCAACTAGATTTTGAAGAATTTATCCTGCAGTTTTTTCCCCAAATCCATTTTATTTCAAGGAAAATAAGGAAAAAAATTCCAAACACATCAATCAGGGGGCATCAATGGTATATACACTGTGCACTGTCATCCCCAAATCATTCACCCAGAACACAAGACATCTGCATTCAATTGTCCGAATAATACCAGCACAAATCTTTCTCTGCAGTGAACTCAGAGAAATCAGTACTATAACTATTTTTACTATTTTTATATACATATACATATATGTATACATATGTTGTTTCAGCATCTTACACTGAGACAATATTGTTTACACGTGTGTCTTATTTCACTAATGTGTATGGACTGAAGTTACAACCATTTACCTATAAAAGTCTAGTTTATCCTTCTTTATGGCTGAATAATTTCCCATTGTACAAATATACCTCATGTTTTTTATCCATTTCTCGTCAGTTGGCATTTAGGCTGTTTCCAAGATCTGGCTATTACAAATTGTGCTGCTGTTAAACATAGGTTCACATATATCGCTGTGGTATGATTATAATTCTTTTGGGAAGATATCCAGAAGAGAAATAGCTAGGTCAAACAGGAACTCCAGTCCTAGTTTTTTGAGGAATCTCCACACTGATTTCGGCAGTGGTTGTACCAGTCTGCATTCTCAACCAACAGTGTAAAAGAGTCCCTTTTCCCCACAGCCCCTACAGCATTTGTTATTGCTTGATTTCTTGATAATAGCCCTTCTTTCAGGGGTAAAGTAGAATCTCAATGTTGTTTTAATTTGCATCTCTCAAATGACTATCCTGCAGTTGTTTGTTTTGTTTTGCTGGTGGTTTTTTGAGATAGAGTCTCACTATGTAGCCCAGGCTGGCCTTGAACTCATAGTGATCCTCCTGCCTCAGCCTCCTGAGAGCTAGAGTTATATACTATAGTTTTATTTAGATTTGAGTTTCCCTAATCTTAAAATCCAAAATCTGAGATGATTTCAAAATCTTAAATACTGGACAACCCATTTGGGATCCTTTCTGTCTCTCTCAGACAGAAGCTTTCTTTCTCTCAATAAATATATTCTCTTGGGGCTGGGGATTTAGCTCAGTGGCATAAGCACCTGCCTTGCAAGCAGGCGGTTGGTTGTGAGTTCGATCCCCAGTACCGATTTTATATATATATATATATATATATATATATATATATATATATATATATATATTTGAGTGCCAACATAATATACTAGTAGAAAATTTCACACATCACCTACTGTGATAGGTTGTAGTCAAAATGTACCACACAAAATATTGCATAAAGTTATCTTCAGGTATGTATGTAAGGCATATTTGAAACAAATAAATTTGTGTTTGGTCTTGGGTTCCAGCCTTAAGATACCTCATTATGTGTCAGGGATGTTGGTGAATGTTTATAAGCCCAGTGTCCTGGGAGGTTGAGGCAGAAGAATAAATTCTACTCTAGCCTAAGCAATTCAGCAACTGAATGAGACCCTGCCTCAAAATTAAAAAAAAAAAAAAGACAAAGGCTATACCTCACTGCAATGAGGTTGTGGGGGCACATACATGTAATCCCAGCATTTGGGAGGCTGAGGCAGGAGACTCACTGCAAGTTCAAGTCCACCTCAAGTTCAATGCCAGCTTAGGTTACACAGTAAGTTCAAGGCCAGTATGGGCTATATAGAGAGACTCTCACAATGATATGATCAAAATATATCCATGTACAAAAATACCACACTGAAATCCAGTATGTTTGTGCTTGCTTTGTCAGCACATTTACTGTACTAAAATTGGAACAATATAGAGATTAAGGGTCAAGTATATAGCTCAGCTGCATGGTGCCTGCCTTGTAAGCACAAGTTTAGAAGTTTGTTTCCAGTACAAAAAAAAAAAAATTACCAGAGATTAACATGTCCTCTATACAAAGATGACATACAGATTCACAGAGTATTTCATATTTGTGTTCTCCAATGGAAAGGGGATCAAGAGATGAAGGAGGGGAGAGGGGAAGAGAATGAAAAAATGAAGATGTGCTATGTACATGCACCAGCTCCCCACAAGGAATGCAAACATGCCCTTCAAATATGTACTGATAAAAAACAGAAAGCTTTAAAAATCCAGTATTTTGTAAAAGTAATAGGCACTAATAAAGATATATTTTTTAAAAGTTACCCAACATTCCTTGAGGCCTTTCTCTTTCTATTTGAACTGCCTGCCCTGTTTAGCCTAGTCAGGAGTCCCTTCTTTACACTTCCACATACTTGTACATTACAGCACCTTTTATCAGGAATTTGAAACATTACTTTTCTTATTTTTTCCCATTATCAAAACCTGGAGTTTGTTTATGTATTTATTTAGAGACAAGTTCTCAATATGTAGTACAGGCTGGCCTAGAACTCATTTATGTGTCCAGGCTGACCTTAAACTCATAGCAGTCCTCCTGCCTCAGCCTCCTGAGTTCTGGGATTACAGGTGTGCACCAAGGTCCCCAGTTTGGAGTTTATTGTTAGTTTTCAAATTTTCTGGATTCTTCGGCATTGGCTTGGCACATTGTAGGCAAATGAAAAGTAGTCATTGAAAGAATAGAAGATGACTACTTCAGGATTTACAGCTTACTCAGTAAAATATAAGCTTATCTTTTACATATAAACTGAAGTATGAACGATTTTGCACCAATAGTACCATTAACAAAAACTAACAGAAAGAAATGTGAAATGATCTTGCACTTGATCTAACACCAGAGATATAGTCTAAAAAACAAGAATAAACGAAAGACTAAATAATAAAAAATAGGGGCTGCGGGTTTAGCTCAGCGGCATAAGCGTCTGCCTTGAAAGCAGGCAGTCGTGAGTTCGATCCCTGGTATCGGTAAAAAGGAAAAAGACCAAAAAAATAAAATAAAATACACCAGGTGTGGTGGTGCATACCTGTAATCTCAGCACTCGAGAGGCTGAGGCAGGAGGATCATTGCAAGTTTGAGAACAGACTGGCTACAAAGTGACAAAGCCAGCCTCAACCGCATAGTGAGACCCTGTCTCAAAAAGACAAACAAACAATAATCTCCAATACAAACATCATTTCTAATTTTACAACACAGAAAATTTGGCTTTTCTCATTAAAGATCACTAAGAGCAACCTTTCTTCATATATCACAAAACTCTTGACACAGCCAAAACAGATTTAAAAATCCATTATTACAGACACAGGAATTTTCTTTAAGGAAAACCCTGATTTTAAGCTGCCCACATCAGACTTGGACACATTAATCACCCTAGATGATAAACTTGTTCTTGAATATTTCTTACTTTACGGTGTTACAGGCCTCCTGAGTCATTAATTCATGCTCCAGCCTCATGCAGACAGCACTACTGAAGCAGAGGCAGAATTGGTCCAAAGATCAAAGTGCAGCTGAGGTTCGTTCTCTATGCACCTAGTCTACAGGCAGATTTGCTTCACTACCCAATCAGTTCTTATTAGTGAAAAAGTGCAGGGAAGGAAAGACTCATTACTAATTATAATTAAAGTTAATTAAAAGAACCAGAAATAGGAAATGAAGCAAATAACTTCTGGGTAATATTTAGTAATTCCCTAGCATATGATATTTTTCTCTTGAACAGATCAAAAAGCTGCAGAAAAATAATACGTCAATAAAAAAGTGTATTAGCCTGTTACATAAACAAAAACTAATGCTGAACTGAGTCTGCACAAAGTATTAAGACTCACAATTCTGCCTTTTAGCCAAAACCATGCATGAGGCAACAAATTTGAGTCCCTGAATTAAAGAAAGTCCAGCTGATTGAACAGATACGATAGGGCAGATAGGGAATGGACAGAAGAGAAAAAACAGACACAAAAAAGGTCTTTTTATCTGGTGTCAAACCAAACAGACTCCTCCAACTCTAACCACTGTCAAGGAGACTCACAGAACACTGGAGTATGGTTTTGATATTTTCTTATAATTATTCTTGATAGTCATTTTAACGCAAAAATAAAGAGATTCTATTTTGTGATACAGCCAGAGCTGCCTCAAGAGACAATTCCATTGCTGAGTCATAGTGCTTCTGCATGAAATACATCTCTTAGAGATGGGGTAGTTTTTCCTGCGATATTTCAACTCAATTGTTAGATTGGTGGGAGGGCTGCACGAAGGAGAAACTGGCAGTCTTGGGAACTGGCAGTTTTGGCTGTGATACTCTCGTGCTGGGTTACCTTATGCAAATTAATCCTAATTTATGAGACTTATTTTCATACCACCAAAATAAGACTAATACTAATTGCTTTGCAGGTCTCTGACAAGGAGAAATTGGTTAGCACACCAGAGGCACTCTACACTAGCTATTTACATAACGAACTCCTACTAAATACAGATGCTTTTAGATCTTGGGGAGGCACAAAGTAAATTCTCTTAATTTCAAATGACAAAATTCCTGAGTGTTCTTAGTTTTCTTGTATATCACACCTTCGCTGTGTAAGGAAGCCAAGGGCAAGCAACTGAACAGCCAAACGTTTGGAAGCACTTAATGGTTTATAAAACATTTTCGTGTGTGCTGCCTTATTTTAACGTCCAAACTTCAGGGGTAAGAAAACAAATCCTATGAAATCACCAAATATACGTAGAGATACACCTAGAAGCCTGGAAGCCTTTCGCCGATGCAAATCACTAAGGAGTTCGACAGCAATGTCCCGGTGGGGTATTCTGCGGCCAGCGGACCCCACTCACCAAGCAGCACCAGGCGTCCATGCTAGGATACTTTTGGCTTGAGGCCACGCTATACAACTAGTTACTCAAGGACCACTAAGTGGCTCCTAAATAGAGCTCACGCTCATCCTCGCTAGAGGCAGCGCTCACCCCTTCACAGGGAAACCCACCGTGCCCGCTCTGCAGCGACCTGACTCAGAGCCTAGCTCCCGGGTCTCTGCTCTCCGCTCTCCCGCCCCCGCACGCCGCAGGCACCACGCCGCGGATGGGTCCTGGCGGCGCCTAGCGCACTGCCCATCGCATTGCTCTCATTGGGCAGCCTCGCCCTTTCCCGCCCCCAAGTCTTTGCTTCCCCTGCGATTGGGCCAGGAACCTATCCATCTCGATCCTCCCGGGGACACCCCCAAAGAAACCCCCAAGACCCCAGCCCAATTCTCCTTCAGAATCCGATGGTTGTTTGCCCAGTCCCTGCCCGTGGGCAATGGCTGGCGGAGCCGGACCGAGAGGGGCTGGCCCCTCCTCCTGCTCCAGCCCCACCCCCGGCCTCTTCTCTGCCCTCTGCTCGGCGCTGCCTCTCTTCGCTCCCCGACACCTGTCTCGCCCTCGTCGCCGCCGCCCCTCCCTCCCTGCTAAGTCCCTCCGCTGAAGTCCTGCGCGCTCCGAGGCTTGCGCTCCATGAGGGCTCTGCAGAATGCACTGAGCCTGGTCGGCAATCACTGCTGGCGGGCGGGCTGGGGTCCCCTGAGCCGGAGCCCCCTCCTGGGCGGGGACATCCGGCATCACATCAGTGAGGTCGCGGCGCAGGGCAGGGAGACGCCGCACAGCCACCAGCCGCAGCTCCCGGATCAGTAAGGCTCGCGGGGCAGGGGCTCCTGCTTCCACTGTCGTTCTTGTTAGCTTCTGAGTCCCCTTCCCCAGGGAGCACAGCTCATCTCCGCTCTCCCGGCTCACTGGCCCGCGATGCCTTTGCCTTTAGATTTGGGGCTTTGGGTCCGCCGCGCTCGGGCGGTAACGTGCCGCCCGCCTGCTAGGGCTTTGGGGCAGGTCGGTCTCCGAGATGGTGCCTGTCCAAGGTGCGTACTTAACTTGGGAACGCAGATGGGCGCCGAGTGTTTCTTGGGGCACGTGTCTGAATGCAGGGCCGTGTGCACGTCCGATCATCCTTACCTTTCCTCTCCCTGGTCTTCGGGTGCATTTTAGGGCATGTATGGGTGTGCAACAGCCTCCACCTGCTCAGGTCCCAGCGTATTTGGGTCTGTGCTGTGTCTGCCTCTGCGTATCCTCATCTGGTTGATATGTGATATGCGTGTGTTACTGGCGCGCAGATACTTGCTTATGTACGTGTGCCGAGCAGGGCTCCCTGATCTACAGAGTAAGGATGTTTTTCTAATTTGGTCTTTGAATGAAAATATTTATAACGGGTGGTGGCAAAGTATTTATAAGATGCGCATTTCCCATTCACAGCCAGTCACAGCTGTTATGTATGCTGCTCAGCCTCCCTCACTCAAACAGTGCTCGTCCTTTGGGCATTTCTTACACCCATGAAGCCGAATTTATTTCTCCACCACCGCCCAAGGGTACTTGGCGGCTGAGTCCCCCTACCCTTACCCAGACAAGACAGCTCCGAGCAAGAAACTTGGCCTCCCCAGAGAGCCAGCTAGGCACTGTCCAAGTAGCCCCTTCCCTGTTGTAGCAGTAACAGGAAGTGGACCACCTCTCCTGTCATTAACTTCTAGCTGATGACACTCAGACACATATGCACACCAAAACTAAAGTGGCGAGGCTGACCCAGCACTGCCTCACCACTGCAGGTGTTCCAGTCCTGAGAGATAACAGATGGATAAATATTATTTATTAATCACTATTATGCTGTACTTTTCCAACACATGGAACATTTAAGGGATAAAAACTCTCCTTTCTGTTCTAATCTCCATCCTACTTCCTCCCAAATATTTACTTTGGGAGAATGAGGATGTGATAGAGTGAAGGCTTACTCTCCCTCACCTTTTCACCTTCTTTGGAGAGAAGAACTTGAGGTTATCCCTGATTCCCCCCGGCAAACTCGCCCACCATTCACTGGTCAGTTGGTGGAATACTACAGAACATTATAGGAGACCTAGTTTCCCCTCTCTGCTGCTTGTGCTCCAGACAACCTCTTTAAAAGACCTTAGAGCACTGGGTCGTTGCTCCCTGGGCAGAGAGGTTGACAGCACTGGAGGTTATGGGCTATGAAAGTGGTACCACGAGAGACAGGGGTTTCTGTGTTTGTTGGGGAAGGAGGGCAGCAAATAGGAAATAACTTGTAATTTGGGTTATTTGTAAAATATTTAGTTTTATTGTATTTATGTTTTGTTTTGTTTTTGTTTTTGAGACAGAGTCTGGCCGTGTAGCCCAGACCAGTCTCAAACTTGCAGTAGTCCTCTTGCCTCAGCCTCCCAAGTACCCCACACTCAGCTGCTGCTGCTGCTTCTT